TACAGCGACCCTTGCTCACTTATCACTGTGCTCGGGCCACACAGCGCGCCACTTACGGGTGACGCCCTAGCTTTAGCGCGATTTTGTTCTGGATTCATTTTCATAAGGATTCGACGTGATCATGGAGTGCCGGCTGTCGACTACCTGACGCCCTCCCCCTCCTCCTTTATCCGGGCTTGGGACCGGCCATGTAAGACATAGGCGGAGTTGAATGTTGACATTCGATATGAAAAATTGCCACTTACTTGTTTCTTGTGTGGCATGATGGATCATGTGGAGGATCAGTGTGAAAAATATCATGGAAGGCAGAATGATGACTATGTTAAGCCATATGGGAGGTGGTTTCAAGATGATGTCTTAGGAAAAGATTATAGGAAGCCTGTGGGTAAACGATTTGGTTTAGGCCCCGAGGGAGGTTGGTCGATGTCTGTACCAGTTGTGCAGGATATGGATGAGAGTATGCAGGAAGGTGAGGGACCTGAAGAGGCGTTGGGTGGATAAAAACAGATTGGTGCAGGCTCTGAAATACAGGATCCAAGGCAGGGACTTACGGAGGAGGGTGGTCTAGAATTATGTTTGCAACCTATGGTCGAAGGGAGGCAGTTACGTCAGGATATTCCTGATCTGAATGCCAATCTTATGGAAGAGATGGATGGTATGGCAATATTGCCATACATGGCACCAGTTAGTGAGAATGTGTTGAGCCCAAGTCAACCTTTGATGTTGTTTGGTACTGAGATAATGGCGTCGAGTTCTGGGCCACGGAATGAGGAGGGTAAGGTTATTGAACAAACAAGTTATGAGAACCTGAGTGAAACTACACTTTCGTTGGGTTCTGATCCTTTCAACCTGGACGCATTCATCTTTGGAACTGGGAGTAGTGATGGGAGAAAGATACATAAGAGATTGGGCCGTATTAAAGGAAAAATGAGGATGCAGTGTGGTAGGCTGGTTTTTCCCGAGCTGGGGAAACAGGTGCATCGAGATAAGGATGATGGTGTACGATCCAATGTATAAAGAAACGTGCTTATTCGAACTCAATGATTGATGCAGCGATGGAGGTTGACGAGGTTCTGCCCCGCCGAGTGTAATAAGTTGCATCAGTTTGAATTGCCAGGGGCTTGGGAACCTGTGCAATTCAAGCACTTAAGAGACTAGTTCTCTTTAAAGATCCCGATGTGGATTTTCCAAGGTATTAAATATCGATAATATCGGTGAAATATCGCCGATATTATCGTTTTTCAGAGAAACCGATATTTTCACACGTATCCTCTAATTATCGTCAAAATATCACGATATTATCGATAATATCGCGATATATTCGATATTATCGAAACAATCGTCGTGGCTGCGTCGTCGGAAAGGCAGCCGAGGCTGCGTCGTTGCAGCTGCCCAGATCTCTCTCTGCAATCCAGGCTCAGACCCAAGATCTGCGCCTCCGTCGTCGGAAATGAAAAGTCCAGTGTTCTAAAACTTGCTGCAAATCCCAAACTTGCTGCAATTTTCGCAATGGGCTGCAGAAATTCGCAGAGACGAGCTGCAGAAATTCGTACGAGATCGGAAGTTGTAGATCTGTGAAGATGATCTGTGAAGATGAGGGAATTTTTGCAGAGACAATCTGCAGCTCGTCTGTGAAGATCTGTGAAGTTGTAGAAATTCGTAGAGACGATCTGTGAAGATGAGGGAATTTTTGCAGCTCGTCTATGAACTGTGAAGATGAGGGAAGAGAGTCTGAGAGAGTGCGAAGAGAACCATGGGATGTGATTAAAACGGGTGATGTGATGAAAACCACCTAAGGTGGTTTTAATTATGAAATTGAAAACCATGGGATGGTTTTAGTGAGGTAACCCAAGGTGGTTTTGATTATAAAATTGAAAACCATGAGATGGTTTTAAAAGTGGACGGGTGATGTTAAAGAGGTGAGGGGATGGTTGATGGTTTTAACTTTTTAATAATGAAAACCACCCACTATGTGGGTTTTTTATATTTTTAAAAGTTTGGTATATATTATATATATATATATGTTATATAAATTATAAATTATTTAGATAATATTAGGTTTTTTTTCATAGGCAAGCATATTATATATATACATAAAACATTCACATATGTATATTCTTCTATAAGAAATAACATATTAGTCAAGAATTATTTACATTTGATATAGTAAATTTAATTAATTCATAAAATATATAAGAAATTTCTTATATCCAACCCATGTGTGTGTTATCCGAGAGAAGAAAAAAAAAATCCAAACCTACTTTCAAAATATCCAGCCCACGTGTCAGTGATCGTGAGGTTTGGTCTTCAATATATTCACCCTGCTTTTTGAAGCTACTGGAAATGTCTTCAAATGATTTTGCTTATGGACAACATCAACCAATCTCGGATCCATATGGGTGGCATGTTAACAATTACATGCAAAACTATTTTGGGGATTTATCATTTGATGACTACTCTTCACAATACATTTACTCTACACATAGAGATGATGAAGATAGTCAAAATTTTGAACCTCATAGGAACTCTATGTGGTACTAAGTCACTCATGTATCTTATCATGCAATGTATAAAGTGTAAAATATTGTACTAATTCATTATATATAAATGATTATGGTGTGTTTAAACTTCTTTCGTTAATTACTACATATTTTCTACACTCACAATGTTTGCCAGCTCGCTATATAATCAACTTAAATAAGTTAAATCCATCATGCAATGCATTTCCTTCCAATTTTTTGTGATAAACTAATAGATAATTGACTAAATAAACATCGTGCAAAGTTTCAATAAAAATTTCCAAGTTTTTCTTACAATTTTCGTGGTTTCCATATTATTTTTATCGATATCGATAATATCCCGATATTTCCATCAATATTTCCGTGTTTTTGGACTACCGATATTTCCGATATTATCGATATTTAATACCTTGGATTTTTCTATGCGAAACTAAAAGCTCCAGAGAATATATGGAGAAGTTAAAATCACAGTTACAATTTCAGTGTGCGTTTACAGTACTGAGTTCAGGTTGGTCTGGTGGTCTGCGTGTTATGTGGAAGGAGGAAGCGCATATTTCATTTCGCTTATACTCTTCAAATCACATCGATCTTGAAGTGGGCAGTGTGGGAGATGCTCTTCACTGAAGGCTTATGTTCTTTTATGGCTTTCCAGTTGAAGCTGATAGCTACAAGTCAAGGGAGTTGCTTCGTCGACTAAAGGAGAACTAGTCTTTACCATGGTGTTGTTTAGGAGATTTTAATGAAATTCTCCAAGCCATTGAACATGAGGGTGGTGATGTACATAGCGACAGGCAAATGGAAGGTTTCTAGAATGCACTGAGGGATTGTGAATTGAAAGATATGGGCTTTGTAGGCAACGAGTTTACTTGGGTAACGATGAGGGGTGGTGGTATCAAGGTTTAGTTAGATCGAGCCTTTGCTACACATGATTGGTTAGACTTATTTCCAAGGTTTAGAGTTGTTTATTAAGAAAATTTTAATACTTTGCTTTATATTTTGATTGTAGAACATGCTAGTCTACTTTGTGCAAAAAGCGATGAAACAAGGATTTTTGGAGTAATTATAATTGGAGTAGATTCAAGAGTCTTTCAAAATGATTGTGTTCAAAATCTCAGATTTTATTTCTAAGCAGTTTGATCATGGCAATTAAATGGAGAAAGATGCACAGTATTGTCAGATTGACATTTTTCGTGTTTTTTGACCAATATGTTATTGAAGATGACCTTTTTTTTTTATAAAAGTTTCATCTGCAAAGTTGTAGCCGACTTTTTTGTCAATGCAACGCCACCTCGCAAGCCTAATTTGGAGTAGATTTTGGTCATAAAACGTGTGAACTTTGTGGCCGACTTGATTACGCAATTTATTAGAGTATGTGTTTTCTAGTTATATTATTTTATTTTATTTTCCAGATTTGTTGGGAGCAGTGTTCTAAAAACCGATCTAAGCACTAGACAGTAGCCGACTGTCGCGGGAATTGGAAAATTATATGTTGCAAAGGAGGCGCGCAAGGAAGAACATGGACCGAGATTGTCCCACCATCTTCTGTTTCATTTTAAGGTACTGTTTGGTATGTGGGATGACGGAATGCAGTGGGACGGAACGCCCTCGTCCCACGTTTGGTGTGCCAAAGATAATGAGACGCGCTAACGAGTTTTGGCTGAATTTTCGTTTCACCACTCCCTTGGGACGACTCGTTCGAACCCTGGGGAACACAAAATTATAAAATTATAAAGTTTCATGGACATGGATTATGGATAATAAGCGGAAGACAATTGTGCTATGAGAAGACTTTGGTATCAATGCAAATTTAAAAACTTATACTATATCTACAGGTAAAATAAAATCGAAATCGGGGGCCCTTCCGAATTGAGGGCCCTGTGCGGTGGCACCACTTGCGCACCCTCAGGGCCGGCTCTGGTTATATGCTGACTTTATCATAATCAAACTGAATTAGACTCCACAAAGCCTTGTGAAACAGAAAAAACAATTGACAACAACTAAGAATGTTCATAAAAAAAAAAGTCTCGTCCCGTCCCATCTATAAACATTGTACCAACCAATAGACGGAACATGGATAAATTAGTCATTTAATTTTTTGGTTCTGTTACGTAATGCGCTTACCAAACGCAGAACAAACCAACCGTCTCGTTCCGCCATGCGCGTACAAAACATAACCAAGAACCTTCGTTCCGTTTCGTCCTGTCCCGTTCCGTTCCATCTCGTCCCGTCCCGTCTGTGTACCAAACGGTACCAAGGTACAGTTTCTTATGTGGGATAGGACGGAACACAGTGAGACGAAATGCGCTCGTCCCACATTTGGTGCGCCAAAGACAATGGGATACGTTGTCCCATGGAACGACCTCACCTCCTGGAACGACTCGTTCCATCTAGTGGAACACACAATTATAAAATTTTAAAACAAAAATACCCTTATCTTTTTTAATATTTACACCATCTAAATCATAAAACAAACCCATCTTTTTTCCATCTTCTCTGCCGCTGCCTTCTTTCTCCCAGTTCTCTCGCAACCTTCCTCCTCATCTTCTCCCATAGCCTCTGTTTTCTCTTCCCCACGGAGTGGAACTCAAAGCTCTGCATCTCCAGGTTCCAGGTTCGATCTTGCTCTCTGTAGATCTTTGATTTTGCTTTTTTGTTTGGGTTTTACTTTTTTGCTTTCTTGATTTTTCCACGGAAGATTTCAAATTTCTGGGAAAATAGGATGCTTATGAGAAAATAAGTTAGTTTTCTTGGTTTCACTAGTTTAACTTGTGCTTGGGAATTGTATTTGAAAAGTGGTGTGTTTGTGGTTTGCTTTCCTGAACCTGGCTCAAAATGTGGTTTGTCTAATCTGGCCATATAGAAGTAAGTTGCAATCTTTCTGAAAAATCTTGAATTTCTTGTAATGTGGATTGATTTGAGCTGAAAAAATGAATTGGGCGATAATATTGTCATGTGGTTTTCTTTGAGTAGTGTTAAAGCTTTGGTCTAGTAGTAATGCTGGAGGCGCACCTATGCCGGGATTACTAATACTAATTGGACCCACTATGAGGATCGAAGCGTTGAAGTATATCAGTTATCCGGCTCAGGTTTGCTCTCCAATTTAAGGTTTGCAATCGTAGCCAGTAGACTAAATGAGCAGCAATAGAGAGCATATAGTTATAGGAGCATATTTATGCGACTTAATTGGCTTGTTCTCGTGCGTTTACGTTGTGTTTCCTTAGTTATTTTAGCGTTTAAAGTCATTTTCGTATGTTTGTAGGTCTTAATGACAACGTTGGCAAGAAAAGTGCATTTTGGTGCATTTTGGATCAAAATTGGGCTGAAATGGATTGCATGCATGAGGATCGACGTTTTGGGCATATGTGTGTGCAAGTGTGTGTGTGTGCAAATGCAAGGGTAAACAATGACAACTCATACACATGCAAACTCACGGCAATGGGAATGAATTGTGTTTGTTTTGTGGCTGAAATGATGTGTGTGCAAGTGTAACAACTAGGATGAAACATGGCAGCACACACATGCAAAGAGGAGCTGGAATCATCCTTCACACAAATGCAGCAACAACCCCTCATCATTACACAACATTTCTGCCACAAAACACATGCAAAGACACCCACATGCAAAGTGGAAGAAAGGCACGTCAAAGGGGAATGAATTGTGCTTGTTTTGTGGCTGAAATGATGCAAAGAACATGTGTGTGTGCAAGTGTAATAGCTAGGATGATAACATGGCAGCAAACACATGGCAAAGAAAAGAACATGGCAGCAAACACATGAAGCACACGACATGGGCAGAAAATGTGGGTGTTTGGTGGTTGAAATGATGAAGCATGTGTGTGTAAATGTAAATGATAACATGGCAGAAAATGTGTGTGTTTTGTGGTTGAAATGATGAAGCATGTGTGTGTAAATGTAAAGGGGAAACATGACAGCTCACACCCACACAAGCTGCACATGCAAAGGAAATGGAGTGGTCCTCTCTCAAGCCTATAAATACCACCTCCCATATTCATCAAAAAACAGATTTGGATCCTTGTCTTTCCCGTGAGTTTTCCACCACCATTCTCTCCAAATTCAGCCAAAAATCACCCCTAGCCACACCACCCATCAACCCTAAACCTTTCCATACCATTCCCTATCCATTCTACACCATAAAAACCACCCAAACCTTGTCCAAAACCTCTCTGCCGCAGCAAGGAAGAAGGAGTAACTTTGGATGCACTTGCTGCCAAGTTGGACTGTTTTAGGTGTTCTCTTTCTTTGAATTTTAATGTCTAATTTTATGTATCTTTGCTTTGCAAGTATGAGGAACTAAACCCCCTTTGGCTAGGGGGGAATTCAAAACCATGTTTATGCTTGCTATATGATTTGATTATTTCCAATTACGTTTCATGAATTGTGAATTTAATTTACTTATCTCTATGAATTAAAACTAATTTGTGTATGTTGGTTGAGAGTGCACGCTTAATTTTCATGCATAAGTTTGTTGCTAGGATATAAGGGAGTTTCACCTAATCGTTATGAACTTATATTCATAAGTAGTAAAGGTTGTTGATCACAATCATGTTAAGTAAATTCTTGGCATAAGTTTCATGCAATTCATAGTAACAAGTGCCTCGCCAATGCTTATGGTTTTCATAGAACTTAATGATTCTTGCTTGTATCTCTATTATGCAATTCATGTAGGGGACTTGTGAGGAATGTTTGGGTTGTCGTATGCAATTCATCCAATTCAATAACTTTAGGGAAATCTGAGGGTTAATTAGTGCAATTCACAGTTAATCTGGGGTGTTGGGAATTCATGGTGTGTCGAAGAGCAATTGGAAATCATTTTGTATGCAAGTATAACATGTGTGGAGAAGAACCCCTTAGCTAGCTTCTCATCCATTCAATTTAATCAATCTCGTTTTACAATCTGCTAGTTCTTAAAGTTTTTGTGTAGTTTTAAATTTCGTCAAGAACCAATCTCCCATTTATTTCAAAGTGTTAGATTAGTTAGTAATCACTTTAGTTTGTGTTTTTAAGTGTTTTGATTCACGGGGTAAACCAATTTCGTCCAAATTTGTGTTTGTGCTCAAAACTGCCCAGAAAGTGTTTTTAAGGCAGTTTTGAGTCTTTTGGTTGCTGTTTTGAATCTTTTTGTTTATCTTAGTGTTTTAAACTTTAGTTTTGCATTCTTCAAGTCTAGTTTAGTGTTTTAAACTTTGTTTTTAAGTTTTGAGTCAGTTTTCAAGTGATTTGGCAATCCTTCCTAATCCCCGGCCTAGAACGATCCCTACTTACATACTTGCTACAATTGATAAAAAGAGGGTTTAATTTGTGTGCTTATATATTTCGCATCAAATTTTTGGCCCTTTGATTGTTTCTTTTCATTCATTTATTTTGTTGAAGTTTTTGACCTTGTTTTGTTTCTTTGTTTTTAAGGTACTAGTGCATGACTCGAAGTTCCCACCCTGTTCGTGAGCATATTTTGGACTTTGATGACGATTTTGAGAGAACTTTGAGACGAAGAAGGAACTAACAAGAGTCCAACCCACTTAGCCTGGAACCTAACCTTGAAGAACAAGTTCCAGAAGAGGAGGAGATACCCACAACACAAGTGGGAGAAGTAGTGCAAGACATGGCCATGGATAACCGAACACTCAAGGAGCTCGCCGCTTTGGGATTAGATAATGCTGCACCTTTGTGTATCCAATATCCCACGGCTGCGCAAGGTAAGACCGAAGAGTTCGAGTTAAAGTCAAGTTTGCTCCACCACATTCTAAAATACCATGGGCTGTCCATGGAGGATCCGAACAAGCATTTAAAAGAATTTGAAGTGGTGTGTTCAAGCATGACTCCGGTTAACGTCGACGGAAGTATTTTGAAGATGAAGGCTTTTCCATTCTCTTTAATGGATAAAGCCAAAGATTGGTTATACGAGTTAGCTCCCGGAACTGTCACATCTTGGGAGAGTATGAAGAGGGCGTTTTTGGAGAAGTTTTTCCCAACTTCTCGAATCATTCTCCTACGTAAAAAGATTAGTGGTATTCAGCAAGAAGAAGGTGAGTCTTTTCCTACTTATTATGAACGTTTTAAATCACTTGTTGCTTCTTGTCCACAGCATCAGATGAAGGAGGAGTTACTTCTACAATACTTTTACGAGGGGCTCCTACCACTTGAACGTCAAATGCTCGATGCCTCAGCGGGTGGAGCATTGGTGGACAAAACACCCATGGCTGCCAAGATCTTGATTGCTAATCGAGCATTGAACGCTCAACAATACGAATGCGTTGGCCAAAGAGGACCCCCACGGCAACAAGTGCATGAGGTAAGTTCCACATCCGACATTCATTCACAATTAGCTAATCTTACTTCCATTGTGTCTCAGATGGCCGAAGGAATGAGAATGCAAGGGCCAATGGTGTGTGGCGTATGTTCTATCCAAGGACATGCCTCGGAAAATGCCCTCAACTCATTGAGAATGGTGGATGGGAGAGCACTAACGCAATTGGATTTCAAGGCCAAAACCAACCGAGGAACGATCCATATTCAACCACATATAATCCAGGTTGGAGAGACCATCCAAACTTCAAGTGGAGGGAGGCCCAACGACCCAACAACAAGGAGGCTTTAGGCAACAACCCCCGGGGTTTTTCACCAAGCCATATGCACCCCCACATTTTCCACAACAATCTGCCCCAATTGCTTCAGGTACATCTCTAGACAATGATACACTCCTTAAGTTACTAACTAACTTGTCTCAGAGGCAAGAAAATCAAACCAAAGCTATGCAAAGCCAAGACAAAAGGGTGGATCAATTGGAGAAACAAATTGGGCAGATTGCAGATTTTGTAGGGAAGTTTCGAGACCAAGGCCAACTTCCTAGTTCTACCATTCCAAATCCAAAAGGAGGTTTTGAAAGTGCAAAAGCCATATTGTTGAGAAGTGGAAAAGAAGTTGGGGCATGTCCTATACCATCAAAATCAGGTCTCAAAGAGGATGAAAACTTGCAAATTGAAGAGGAAGAAGCAAGCCTACCCACGGCAAAGGTGGTTCCACCTTTGCCGCAAGCTTCTAGTACCCCAAATCTGTCTAAATCGTCCAATGAGGGTAAGAATGTGTCAAATTCAGTTCCTACAAATGTTTTTCCTTCGAATGTTCCTTTTCCTAGTAGGTTTATGCAAACAAAGAAGGAGGAAGCTGAAAAGGACATCCTTGAGACGTTTAGGAAAGTTCAAGTCAACATACCCCTTTTGGATGCAATCAAGCAAGTCCCGAGATATGCCAAGTTTCTAAAGGAATTGTGCACCACTAGGAAGAGGATGTCGACCAAGGAGGTTGTCAAGGTAGGTGAAAATGTATCCGCCATCTTGCAACACAAACTACCCCCCAAATGCAAAGATCCGGGTAGTTTTACAATTCCTTGTGTCATTGGAAACACTCGCTTTGAATCTGCCATGTTAGATTTAGGTGCTTCTATAAATGTTATGCCATACTCAATTTATGCATCTATGAATTTAGGAGTGTTGAAAAATGATGGTGTAATCATACAATTAGCCGATAGATCTAACGCCTATCCAAAGGGAGTTTTGGAAGATGTTCTTGTGCAGGTAAATCACTTAATCTTTCC